ACCGAGTGGCAAAACCAGTTAAAGCTTCTGTCTTTCTATCCAGAATCAGGTCGTGGGAATATATATAAGCTTCAGGCATGGAGGAGCTGACAACAACGTCACCTAATATGAAAACGTACTTTGAAATTGAAAATATTACTGACCTAATCGGGCATGAAGTCTGGCGTCAGTATAATGAGGTACAGCACCTCCAACTCCAACAATGAAAACATGTTCAATCTTTTGGAAGTTTCCGAGTAGCCTAAACGCAATTGAACAACGTAAGACATTCAAATGAAGCTATTATTTACCGAGTGGTTATAGAACCGGCGCTTGTAATAGCTTCTCGAGAATCTCCGATTAAAGCTAATTTTGTGGCAACTACGTTATGAGGACCAATTCTTCCAATGGTATAGACGTTTGAATCACCACCAGATTTGTACTGTAACGTATATAATCAATAGGTTTAACCCAAAACAATACTCTACCTTATGAATCACGGAACTATCATCTATTAGGGAATCAACGGCTTGTTTTTCAACAAACAAGCATGTGATGATAGCGACGGTGGGTTGTCCATCCGCTCCTGCAGTCTCATTGATAACTTGAACTCAAATTTTTTATACCTGATGATTGGTTTCCACGGGCAACTGCATCAACATTACGGGTATCAACACGAATCCATTCATCACCAACTCTTCTTACTATTCCGCTGGCTTCCAATTCCAACAGGAACTGGGATGCTTCTTCGGGAGTACATCTGTAACAGGATCATGAGAGATCATGTTTCACGTTCTTACCTGAGAGAATCACAGATAATGTCAATAGTGAGACCATTTGGATAAGCATGCTCTAACACTTCCTGAACATGACCAACGGTAACATCTTCAGCTTCAGAACTCGAATCTAAGAAATGGGTATTTTTGAATTTCAAAAGGAAATGAATCACCATATTGAGCAGCATCAGGGATTGCCACTTGTTCTTCATCCGATAAAATCTTATACTCTAAGTCAAGAGAGTTGATGACTAAGTAGTCACTTTGCAGCATTTTAAGCACTCTTTTCATGAAGTCAACATAAGCTGAAGAGTGTTGATACAAAGATCACGGAGAACAAAAAAATTACTGTTAGGTAAGTTGGACATGAGTTGTTTGAAAAAAGCATGAACGACGGCTCTTCCTTCATTCAAATCAACATCCTTATTAAGCTTGAAGAACATATGTCGTTTCTCCTGGAACATATGAAAATTAGGAGAAAGTGATGATATCTTACTTGTTTTTTAACAGTTCCATTGTTAATCCAAACAGAGAAGGATATCTCAACATCAGCATCTAATCCTGTAAGTAAGATGATGAGTGATAAGGTTTGCTATTGTTTACAAACCATAAGGAATATCATTGAGCTTGTTGATGATGATACCCGTGTGGGGTCCACCAGCAACAAGAAGCAAGCGTTCGCTATCAACATCAGTTTCTCTGAATACAAACATAACATAAATATAGAAAATAAGAATTTACCTGTGAATTCTGACTACATTGTGTACGTCAGATTGTTTGATAGGAGATAAGACAATTAATGAAGAATGAGTAACCATATTTGAATGTGATCCTGAATAAGGAAAGTATGCGGCTTTTGCCCAACAGAATTGAGGACACAAACGAATCTATGACTCAATACAAACATGAAGACGACATTACAAACTCTCACAATATTCTTAACAAAATCAATTAAACACGAATTGTTACAACTTTTTCATTTCTTTTTATACTAATTCAAAGCACAACCGTTCATTCGAGTTTGGACGCCAAAATGGACTTCTTCCATTTCAAATTTAAAATAAACAGTCAAAGCGTCGGGACCAATTAAATGTAAGCTTCAAGAGAAATAGAACCACAGGTTGATAGACATAGAAACCTCATGTTGATATCTCTCTCTAAGCAACAGAGGTTCAAACGGGTAACCATGCTATCTTTCGAAAATGGAAGAAAATAAAAGAATTTTCGTTTAAATACAGAAAATGACGAAGAGATCTATTCAAGGTAGATATATGGTAAACTAAACTTATTAACAGATACTCGAAATCTTCATTTGATATGAAAACATCGTGTAGAGAAGACAAACAAACGGAAAAACATGAGCGTCCTTCGATAGTCGAAACGCGCCAATGAACAAACAGCAGCGTCCTCGTTCTAGGCCCATATCCCGAAAAACTCATAGGCTATCGGTTCAAGCATTGCGCATCATTCTACTTACTCCCATGAGATTTAGTTATTGAAGTCAGGGAGTACCTCGAAGATACTTCAAACAGCTTTTTCAGTATCAACATTCATCTGATTTTTTTTTCGAAAATCGTAAAACGATGAAGATCTTTATGTTGTCTCACATCTTTCGTGAAAACTATTAAGAGCCATCATAGCGCAGTCATGTAGAAAAGAAAATTGAAAATTGATGAAAAAATTTCAAACTGCTCGATTTCTACCAAAAAGTCAAACTTTCTATTGACCATGGAACATACTAGAAGATATGAAATAACATTGGCGCCCCACAGGCTGTCCCGAAAGGACATGCTGCACAGACTGACACCACACGACAGCAGTCCAAACCAAACCATGTCTTCTCGCAAATAGGTTGAATCTCAACGTAAGACTCAGCAATCCTGTTTATAATTAAGATACTCTTACTCATATCCTCAGTCCGTCCAGTTATTAGCTTTTGCTACAGTCTTTCCTGTTCTATCAATTACTATTAGAATCATTGAAGAAGTGGAATCTTCTCTTTTCTGTCTCTCATCAGAACACAAACGTTCTTAACTTTATTCAAATTCAAAAAGAGGCAATGAATTTGCACGAATCAGAAGGCATCAAAGAGGAAAGCATGACAAGATTTTGAACATCCTTTGAAGATCGCCTATTCCGTCACTATCCCCATACGCAAACCTGCAATCAGTCATCGGATACAGAATACTGCAGAAGTATAATTCTTCGTCATATTTAATTGGCAACCTTGATTTGCTGACTAATTAGAAAGTATAGTGTGTCTTACAGCTTCTCTCACAGCTAGTATGAGTAGGAGGACAATCGAGCCCGCAGATGCCAGAGAAATGGTTATGTGAAGCTATATGACTAGCATATCCTGATTTATTAAATAGAAATTGACATTCTTTACTCATAAAGCTTGAAATAACAAAAATCACCTTTCATGACGCCAGTCAATGACTTCATGCATAATTCCCTATCATTAAAAATATAAAAAAATGAAAACAAAGTCAAAAAAGAATTCTTGACAGTCGAGGTCAATAATCAATCGGATCTACCATAGAACATACATGTTAAGTTCCCGGTCTTAACGACTATGATCTCCTATGTGTGGACGAATCGGAACGATGTGCACTTCGAGGCATTGAACAGAAGTTGAAAGGTCAGGCAGACATTAATGATTTAGAAAATCCAGCTTTTACTACTTCAGTGCCTAATCTCAGAACAATTTTGGAACCAAAGACTCAGTTCCATGCAATAACAAGCACATTCACAGTCTCTCGCAATTGACTTGATACTGAGTGCCTGATTCTGATTTGTGGATGCAAGTTATCTTATTGGTGGGCTCCTTTTTTGTTCCTGCAAACATAATTGAGATGGCTACTCATGAAGCAAGTTACTAGATGTGAAGATAGTCAGAAACCATACTGAAATAATGTTCCTATAATCACGATGAGCGAATATGATGATGATTGAATTGAGTGATCCATGAGCAGCATAAACCAGAAAAGCCGCCATCTCGATTTCTAAGCATAGAAGAAGTTTTGAAGCTAACCGAAGAGAACAAACCCAGTGGAGGGCTTGCTACAACAATCATGATAGGAACCAACATTAACAGAAGAGGAATGAGTACCTGAACAGAGGATCTCTTATAAGTTAATTGAGATTCATACGCACCTGTAGGAATAAGGCAAACAGCAGAGACCTTTGCAGAAAAATAGTTTTCCTAGAGAGATATGTATGTGAGTTATAAAGTGTATGTGTTGATACAAAAAAGCAAATGAGATATATGAATATGATAAAGGCTATTCCCCAGGTTAGTATGAATAGTATGGTCGACTGGTACTCGTATGGAGCTATCAGTACATTCTTTGTTCCTACCACAGCCTGATAGTTCTTTTCGCAAACATTGAAGTGCTGAAAGACCAAAGTGAAGCTCTACAATAGGTTAAGCTTCTCACATGTAATTGTTCAATCTTTTTGTCATCATCAACCGTTGTAAAAGTAAAGATTCCTATGGCAGCTACGACCCAGGCAGTGTAGAAGATGGTAGTGCAAATGAAGTTGGTCAGTTCACCAAAGTACAGGGGGTGGGTTTCCGTGATGATCACTCTGGTACGAAAGAACAGCATGTGAGTGTAAGTTCCAACAACTTCTAAAACTGATTATTGATCATTGAACCACGTTCTGACAGAACCTGTAATAGCACAAGCGGCAAAGATTCCTAGCACATAGAGAGATATCCCGAAGTCTGCACTTAGACCCAATTGACGAATTGCCCAAAGGGCTGGGTAGCTGCGCGGACAGAACCATATGCATACAACGCAATCATGAGCTAAGAAACTTTAAGAAACAATGTATATCATAGATTGGATATGAAACCTACCAAATTACATGAACTAGAAGAATATACTTATACTCTCTCATATGACGGGATGAATAGAAGAGGATCAGATATATAAGAAAAAAGTTCATAATGCAAGAGAAGACGAATATCCCTTTATGCATAAGGAGATAGGCTCTGTAATCAATTTCCACAAGCTCGAAGCACATGCTGGTTCGAAGGTTTGTTTGATTGTCCAATGAAATTGGAACAGCTAGGCGAAGTCGAACCAGATAATGCATCAACACGAGAAACATCTGCTGAGGGTTGTGAATATCACTTGATGCGAAACTTATTCAGAATTTCAAAGCAAAATATTCATTTTGCATCAGAAAGTATGGCAGAGACAATTCAAAAGCTATTATTTGCTTCATTTGATAACCAGGCATTAGAATGTTACTGCAAGTGAGGGGAATATGAAACAAGCATAATTAAAACAAAACTTTTCTTCATTCAAGTTGTTGACGTGTTATTTTGAGGACTGATAATGCCTTTGCAGCTGAGGAATGGCATTTTCATTCCATTTCTGTTAACCGTATAGATGCTATTGACCACTGTGAGAACATCGGAATTATATTTGAAACTGTTGAAAATTACCATTCCCGCAAACATTTTGGACACTCCTCACAAATGCTCGACGATAGTCTCCATGAGCCAGAACAAGAACAACCGAGTTCATATTACCATGTTGAGCATAAAAAAGAAAGCAAACCTTGTTGACAGCTGAAATGGCAAGGTTTCAGTTATTATTGAAGATCTGCATGAAGCATACACAAAGAAGGACTGTACAGAAGTACGATAGAAGGAAGTATCATCATGAGAGAAGGAATTGTTGTCTGAAACATTTTACTTTGACAATATGAAACATCTGTTTATAACTTGTATGAGCAAAGAGAATAACAACGACTTCTGAAGATCTTTTGTTTTCTTAGAAAGTATGGAGTATGAACTGTGGATGTAATATAAGGAGAGACAGAAACACATAGTAACAAGAGAGAAAAAAACTCCAACGCCCAGCACCAATAGAATCAACATTATCCACCTTCGACTATTCAGAACTACTATGGCGTTTTCGGTGAATAACAGATAATGATAATCAGAAACACAAATATCGCTTTCCTGAATCTTGTCTTCAAACTCTAGAAAAGGCTACTGCACACCTTCAATTGGTTATAAATATCAGTGGAGTCATCAGAAAAGCAGACAGTCGTGAATATCAGGCCAGAGATCCAAAACATATAAAAACCAAATCTAACAACTATCTGTTGCTTTTCACCAAGAGCAAATGTATGATTCTTGGGAAGAATAACTTGAGTTCTGTAGACGAACATGTCGATATAGATTCCAATAACCTCTTCAAACAAAAGCTACAATTGGATGGAGCTCAACAGACCTGTTGTAAGACAACCACCAATTAACAAAGTGTATCTAATGGGGAAGCCAATGTGAGCTAGTAATCCCATTTGTCGGAACCCAGAAACTTCCGAGAAAGTCCGACCTGAGCTGGCTACACCCATTACGAAGTCATGGATGAGAAAACTGAAACAAGAGATTAGGGTAGAAGTATGAATGGCCACTACCAACTAAGATGAAACAATAGGATGTTCTTATATCCTTTCATTGGTATAGATGAGTGTTCAAGCACCAAGTATATGGTGATTGTTGATATGATAAGTGTGATACCAAATCCAATTTGTTGAGCAACCAGGTAGAAGTGATGATCCTCAATTTCAAAAGCAACACACATAGCATAAACTACATGTAGAATGAGTTGATGCTGAGTTGTATGTAGAGAATATACAATGAGTGAACTAGATGATAACAGTGTGAATGTTCAACTACTGAAAAGGGCGTCACTCACAGAAACACATGAGACGGAATATTTATTGTTACCTTATTATTAATATTTTAATTAAGAATTATACGAGTCAGTTTTTGGTATTCAAGAAATTATATGATATCTCCTTTCTAATCATTATCTAAAACTATAAATTACATCACAGCTGGAACGTAACCGCTCGTTATAGAGAATTGTACAACACGAGCATGGTTTCAAAATAAATAATTACCGCTGATGTTGCTACATCTATTTAGAGTAGCCTACAGCTACAGCTCCAAGCAGAGTAACCAGTACTGCCATCGCCAGAAGACGAAGATTGCTTCTGCCAGATATTTCTCTTGAATAATGAATATTTCATGAAAATAATGAGGTAGATATACAAACTTGAAATAGAAAACGCTCCATAGAGCGCCACAAACACCTGGGACCATGCTTATGATAGGGAATGATACAGCTTGTGATATGTTGTCATTCGCAACAAACCTGCATAAATTACAAATACTCCCTCAATACTGATTTTAACTAACCAGGAGGACTGCGCGATCGCCCACATGATCCCAGATAGAAAACTGGGACCAATGAGTCGAGCATTGACAGATGGACGGTTCTTTGAAGCCAAAACGTAAATAAGGAATGCTACTGTTGAAGTTGCGAAAATTCCTGTAAAATGGGAGAAAACATAATCCAAGCCTTGACTTGAAGAGCCAGGGTACTAAAAACAATCTACAGGTTAGCGTTGTAAGCGAGTAGTTACCAAATCTGGGTGATCTTGGATATAAATAACTGGTAGGAATGTTATTCCATAGAACAGACCAGCAACCAAAGCAGCTCCGATTGCACTGAAACATACATTTTCCACTCTCTCTTACAACATGAGAACATACATATATCTACATCTACGGTTCATATCATAGCGTTCAGCCTGAACCAATGGAGTGTTTTCGTCCTCACTCTCATCGTCACCCTCTTCTGGCAAATCCTCTGCATTTCTGCACTGAGAACGAACTTGAGAGAAGAGAAATCCTCTACAAAGAGAAACGAAGAGTACTTTGAAGAATATGCTTCTGCCTACCCCACAATAACCAAAAGAAGTCCAAAGTAGTTGAGAACTGGCATAGATGGAATAGTTGGGTTAATCCCGAACAGACCGAATCTGAACCCCGTAATTCAGTACATTCATGTAATGAAAAGGATCCACCTTCCGGTAGCCCAGCCAGCTATGCAGTTAGTAATGCCCCAAATCAGCATACCCAAGCCCATTCCAATAACACTCATAATAGGAATGGAAGAGCAGTTCCCTATAGAAAATATTTAGAAGAGTTTCAATAGTAACGGCTACCTAAAGACCAGAACATGCCTCCTAGCATAGCGAAGGGTTGAAACATTGGGAAACCCCGAAAAGCACTGACCAAGAGTCCCACCATGAAAATGGCAGCGGCCATCACCCATTGTACAAAAAGTCCTGAACATTCAGAAGGTTCATAAAAATGGAGAAGTGATATACCATTTCCGGGATCAAACTTCTTGATTGGAACGAAGAGACTTCCAAAGAAGACTGAGGATAGAGCACATGCTCCTAATCCTAACACGGTGGATCCCATGAACTCTATAAGATAAATTGAATTTCAACAATCAAAAGTAGAAAGTATGAATAGATAGGAACCAAGAGATCAAATGAACTGTGTACATGGATAGTTTACTAAGAATTCTAAACAAAGAGTGTATAAACTATAACAACAATAACAAAATTTACTAATTGAACATGCTAATCATCTCCTCCAACGACTTCTTTCAATTCATCGTCTTCCTCATTCACATCCTAAAGTTAAGAATCTACTTTTCAAGATTATGCTATGGTACACTTGCCTTCAGATGCTCGTATCTAACAATTATCGGAGTTGCTATGCCTCTTATATCACCAGATGCTGTAACTTCTGTGTACAGATAAGGGTGCATATCACGTAATAAACTTGAAAGATATTGATTACTTCAATTAACTGATACACAACCAACCGATTCCTTTTCAAATATTTCCAATAAAATTCTCGGCCACCCTCGGCATGTTCAAACGTTGACTTTGCAGATTCAGCATCTGCATGAATATCCGTCATATACCTACACATAGCTATCAACAATACTAAAATTGAAATTCTAAAAACCTGTAAAGGAAATGCCAATGCTTGTTAGCGAACCAAGCAGCTGAAGTCAGGGCGACATAGATTCCTCCAAATACGGGAGCCGTCCCGCCGAAAAGCTTTACAGACTGAAAAATACGCTGACGTGAAAATTCCGCTTCTATCGACTTACACTATGCAGCCAATATGTGAAGATACATGAGAATGTAGACCATGTGGCCCAAGAAATACTCCGTTGAGCCAACGCTGCATATCCATCGTGACCATAGAAGTCTCTCAGAGCCAAAAATTTCAAGGCCTGAATGTTAGTTGAAAATTATCATTCATTGCAGAGTTCACTTACACTCTTTGATAAGACGAACGTTGAGGCGATTTCCTCTCCTGTGGGTGTGTCCCAATCCACAGATAGTTTCTTGCCCAGGAATTCTACCCAATTATAGTTATTTTCTCTTAAAAGCGAACTATCGGTCGGGATGAATGTGTAGCAATACCTAAAGTAGTTAAGCGCTTCTTCCAATGTTCTGAACTGTGCATAGAATGGTACAGCGGTATGTAAGCCTGATCGTACACCTAATGATCCTGAAGCCATGGTGTCGTGATCATCTGAAGTGACATGATCTTAAAACAGAGTAAGCAGAAAATTTCTGACTCAAAGACTTATTGAGATAAGCATTGTAGGGAGCATCTCTTGGTACTCTTCCCTCTTTCTCAAGGAACCGTTCATACTCCTGTAATTTGATTGTACAAAGGCAAAGTTAAAGCTAAAGGAAACCTGATTAACTAGTTTCTGAATATCAGCAGGGAGAGTTTCTATAGCAAATCTAAAGATCAAAAAATTAAAGATTAATAAAATCTCAATTGATAACTTTCTAGGAAATGTCAGTGAGACTAGAGGTCCATTCGAAAGAATAGAGAATATGGGGTATGACACTATCGTCCCCGCTAGTAAACCAATTCGAAACCGACGACCCCACTTGGTCTGAAGCCATTCTGTCGCGGTTGCATTTAACTTACTGGAAGAGAATCAAGAGTGAGAGAAGTACAAATGGAAACTTACACATAACTACTGAGTCTTCTGGTAAAATACATTCGTTATACAAACAAACTATAATGGCAAGTGATTAAGAACATCAACAAACTTTCCTCAAGTATTGCAAGGCTAGAGTTCAACCTCGACAAGGACACATATGCGATTAGTACGAAAACGATTTATGTACATTTTAAATAGAATCTATTAACCCATAACAAAATCTAATTCTTCAACTTTCGTTGCCTTATATGAAGATCTATATTGCGCAGCCTGCAAACGAACCAATAGTTTCGGAATGAAGATAAGAGCTACCTTTCGGAATATGTAGGATTCTCAAATCTGATGTCTCCTCCAGTAGATATGTTTCTCTCTCCTTCTTCACCAAGAACACGACGTAGTAAACGAGTATATTTCATTGTCGAAGTTAGGTAATCTTGAGCACCTTTTTCATATTCCTCTCCTCTATAATGAACTCTTTAGTTTTTAAACGAAGAAAATGAAACAAACAAGTCAATGGTCATCTCATCCGCTTTCTTCGTGATATACCCGTTATAGCCTTTGATAAATTGATAAAAACTCAAAACTGAAACTCCTAATCCACTGATCATCCCTACTATAGGGCCTGCTACACCTGATACTCCTGGAAAACCATTTATACATAGTAAAATATCAATTTCATCTCACCTAATACAATTCCGTAACAAGCTGTTGTGATCCCCACCCAAGAAAGGATAGGCATGCAAAAGAATTGGCCACTATAATTCAAAAACTGTAAACAAGCTAGCCCAACAACAAGTGGCACAACATGCAAATTGAATAGAGCACTATGAAAATCACGCGGAAGAATCTCACGTGAAAATTTTATTTTCGTTTTTAAAAAAAGAGAAGAGCGGTTGCATCAAATAAGCTTCACAGAGAAAACTGAATACCATCACAAGAAGCATACCTGTTCGCAATTTGAAGTTGCCTCTGGATTATAAACTTCTTAGCCACATCAGAGAGCATCATTCTGGAGATCAGTTCATCGCCGATCTGTGTTCTGGTTTCAATCTTCTTTCGATATCTAAACGACGGAGATCATTTAGAAGATCGAGAGTAATGCTCATTCTACTTTTGAAGTCCTAAATCTAACTCTATATTAGCGGATAAACGTCTAGCTTGCTCAACATCTTCGAAAGATACCCTCAATGGAAACTGAAGCTCGGCTCCTGGATTGAGAAACAAAGCTCCGTAAACTTTGGGTTCTAACTCATCAGTGATTGTAACTAGAGTCTGGAAGCGAAAAGTGCTGGAAAGTGCTTTTCAGAACCCACCTTCACAGCTTTTGACGTGTGGACGTGATCTAGTTCACTTTCTACCAAATCTTTGAGCAAACTGTTAGCTTCAACGTTACTTCTTTCTACATAGAGCTTAGTCCAGGGCTGATCACCACGGAAACCTTTGAATTATGTATGTGCGGTTGAATAGAGGGGTTGCTTACCGTTTATGAGAAGATAACCCATCGGATAAGCGGGTATCATAGTCAAATAAGCTTGTCGAGTCCAATGCATATTGAGAAAAAGAGGTTCCCTTTAAAATTTCAAGCTATGAAAGGGTTGAAAACTGTCGAACAAGAAAGTGAAATGGAAAGCAGAAGACCCTCAAGCTCAACTTTACATATTCTCCCAGTTTACTGTAGCAAGACATACGCAATCCCATATGTGTACCTTTTGGACCTGTTTGAATTCTTGAGAACAAATTTTTTATAAAAATTTTATATTTATTCAATTTTTAATAAATTAAGAATAATAAATTAAAATAATGTCTTCTAATAAAGCAGGTAACGATTGTTAGCAATACTCTCTTCATTCACTTGACAATTCTTTAGAACCACCAGTTGTTACAATATCGGATGGAGAGCTATCTAGCTCAGACGAAGAACTTAATTATAGTCGGAAGAGGTATTGTCTGTTATTCTAGATGTATTACTATGTTAATGGTTCAGGAGATTAGGAAGTCGAACTCCTTCACCTGTTGTAGTCAATGCCAGAGTTAATAAAGGAAATGAGACTGACTATGGGGACTTTTTGATCGATCGCTCTGAATCCGTTGCCGTTACCTCCAATGAGTTATCGAAAGATCCTAATAAGGAAGAGAAATCGTTTGTTCCTGTTGTTTTTCCTTTGTAACTTGGAATTCAGGGATTGGATGATGAAAGTATCATCTGAGGTGCTCAGCCCATTCAGTGCGAATACGACAGCTCAAGGAGAGCCACAACAGAAAAGGAGAAGAGTAAGTTGTCTTTTCTTGAAACCCGCAATGTCTTTTCTTCATCAGAATGGTTGTTTCAATTGTGGAGGTGATCATCCAGTCACTAATTGCCCAGAACCTAAAGATGCCAATCGCATTCGTGAGGCTCAACAAGCTCGTCGAGAACAGGTCCGCGCTAGAACGGATAAGTTTGTGTTCTTGTGTTTTCATAGTTAAATACTGCTTTTTTTAGTCAGCGCTACCATGAAGATGACAAAAAAGTGGAGAAGTTCCGACCTGGAAGAATTTCCAACAGTCTTCGCTCGGTATTTTGAACACTCCAAATGTTGTGTCTATGATTATACATTAGGCTCTTGGTATTGGCACGGACGATATCCCAGAATGGATATACCGGATGCGGAAAATGGGTTTCATAGATGGATACCCTCCTGGATACTTGAAACAGTAGTTTTCTTTTCCATTCCTCCTCAAGTTTCGATGTTTTTAGAGCCATAATCAAAGATACCTCTCATAAGTTGCTATCTTTCCACTCCATTGACGGGTTAGGAGATTATACGCCAGGTTTGTAATTTTCTTACAATGATCCCCAATCTATTATCATTCAGAAGACGATGGTAGAGAGAGTCCACCTCCTCAGTTAGATAGTAACAAGATGATTTACTTCATGGGCTTCAACCAGTACTACCGCAGTCTTAAAGATGTAAACTTTTGTTTTTGAAACAAATCTCAATCAATCCTGTTTGCAGAGGGAGCGATTCAATGTACCACCTTTCAATGAGTTCTGTGACTTCCATCGTGATCATCTGCTTAAAAAGCATGAAGACCATATCAAGCAACGAAGGCGGGACAGAGAACGACAGAAACAGAAGGAAACGAAGACGAACCGTAAGTTGATAAGTAAAGCAGCCCTAATACCTGTTACTATTTTCAAGTAAACCAGGATAATGAAGTTATAACACTGGATTCAGCTCATAGCTCCGATGAGGATGTAATCGTGCTTGATGGCACGGTACCAACTAATGTGAGTTCTTCGATCAGCATTCTCCTTACCTTGCTTCTTTCAAGATACCTATTACTAACGAAGAAGAAAGTTTGAAATCGCCAGTGACTAAAGAACCAAAAGAAGAGGTTATCTCCACTCCTAAGGTAGTTCGTTCGCTTTTTTCTAGTTTATAACTTCTCCTTGTTAGGGTTCTATTAAATCGGTTGTACTTCGCACTCCAATCCCTCAGCGTCGTAATGCTGCTGGAGAAGTTGCAGCTGATGAAATTCCAGATCTAGATAAATTCAAAGAGGTAATGACACATGAATGAATTGGTTGTAATAACGACGCTCCAGGGTATAATTCCATTCCAAGTCGAAGAAGAGTCTACACCTCATAGAGGTTTCTTGAAGAAAATTGTGGCCAAGATCAAGCAAGTAACTGGCAGAAAATGATTTGACTCAATTCGTCTAATGTTATGTTTAATTGTTTTAACTAACACATGAAGTTGTGAAGTTCTAAGTAGTTTTATAGAAAGCCGTACTCGTAAAGCCGCAAAGGTTAGAAACAAGGAAAGATGTTAGACATTAGACCACAGATTCACACAACACATTCCATATTCACGACAAAAGATTTTCCAACAACTCTCTTCTTCTGAATGAGAGAATGAGTAACGTGCTGACGTGGCTGAATTATTACCTTCTTTCTCATCTTTCTTATTCGTATCTGCAACATTAGGCTGGTAATGTATTGGTTGAATTTTTTGATTTCTCCGTTCATATAACGGCGGCACAGACTTATTATTTGATGTTTCTGGTGGTTCTGAAAAGAAAAACAAAGCCGATAAGACTCTTGGCAGAGTGTTCGAGTTACTATCGTCCACTTGCATTTCATCCTTTAAGGTAGACGCTAACGTTGTGCCAATAACAGACTTGTCAAATGATCGCAAACTGGCAATGTTATCATCTGAAGAGAGGTGTTTGAAAGTAAATATCTCAATTTCTCAAGCTTTAGACCTTTCGTACAACATTGACAATGCTTCTTAGGTGAAAGTAAAATAAAACATTCTCCGTCTTCATTGATTGCCAATGTGAATTCATGGCTCATTGACAAGCCGTTTGCAAATAACCTTAAATCGCATGAAATGTAGAGTGGAGGATATAATAACTTCTAACCATTTCATACATATTTCCTGTTTCTCATTGCGAAGCAGTTGATGAACCTGTCGACCAGGAATGGCAATGGCGGTTATAGCATCGAGTTCATCATCATTCATTTGAAGTAAACGCTTTGTCCAACGATGTGTCATCCGTCTAATGGAGTGAGCCGAAAGAAAAGTAAAAAAATTCTATAAAAAGTGAAAAAATCAGAGTTCAGTTAGATGTAACACAATAAAGGAGATGATGAGGGTAGTGCTGATCGAGAGATGGGTAGAGTAGAAAACGGGAGGAGGGGGATGAAGGGTTAGGAGAGGATAATCAGAGAAATAGATAGCTAATCCATGTTTTCATATTGAAATATTGAAAAAGTACGTTGAACAACACGTTTTTGACGTGTGCAAACAGTTCATTACCATTCATCTAACTTCAATGCTATGGATTATTAGAGGAAAAGTTAAAGTAAATATATATAAAACTAGCTACTTACTACATTCAGAAGGCAATTGTATTCACATTGACACTCTGACTGAGAAAACTAGGAGCGGTTGTCGTGAGTTCCATATATGTAATCGTATTATAAATGGTTTGAATTCGAAGTGATCATCCTATGTCATCTCAAGTGATGCGTTCATTTCTCTTTCTATTTAACCTGAAAGAGAAAAAAATTGAATGTTAAATACAATTATGAAAACATTATTCTTTTGATTTCAAGAAGCTGATGATGTAAGCGAATCTCATTGGCAGAATGCCACGTCATTTGTGCTTCACGTGAACTCTCACGTAAACAGCGCCCTCATGCATACACACACACACACACAAGACAACAACATGAAAATGAAAAAATGTTATTTTCGTTATTGCAGACTGAGATGAGCGGTTGCTTTGCCAGAATGACAATGTTCAGAGGTAAGTCTATTCTCTTTCATTCATCACCATAATCAAGTAAATGCTCCAAAGTAATCAATAGTACTGTAATTGAGAGACTTTTTTTTTGTTGGATAACGTCCGTTCAAATTGCAGTAGTGGAAACGATGATGCCTATGCCTGTGTGTGTGTGTGTGTGAGTGAGTGAATGAGTGAGCGAATGAGTTGTATGTGTGTTAGAGTATGAACAACTTGATGAATTTCTTTGAATAGTTTTATTTTCTTTCTCACCTAACGGTTCTTTCATTTCATTGTTTTACAACGATTGGTCAAACATTGACTTCAACAAGACATGCTGCTGCTTGCTGCTTGCTTGCTTGCTGCTTCTTCTTCTTCTTTTTTCTTCTTCCTTTAACTATATTAGCTGGAATTTGGTTGATTGATGACTGATATTGATTGATTTCTCATTTTTGATTCATATTATGTTCTCCTTGTTTCAATCTTTATCATTCAATTGACGCCTGTTGTAAGCAATTGCTCATGCGATTGTTTCAATTAGTTTCCGCATCCTCTTTCATCTCTGTTTCAAGTGGCTGCCCTGTCTGTAGCTATATGTTATAGTTAAGATTTGTGTTTAATCACAAGCGAAAGTACTTGAGGTTGCTCGAGATTATTTTAACAAATCAACACATAAACATACATTGATTTCTGATTGTCGCACATTCACAGCTCTCTCTCCTTCATTCTCTCTCTCTCTTGCCTTCAATAGCATTTCATCTTCGTCTTCTTCTATCATCTCTACATCATCATCAGCTTCTATAAACTCATCATATTTTCATCTCTTTTCTTCATTTCACAAGAACTATTCAATAGTTCAAACTGTTTTCTTCATAACTCACATTGTCTTCATCTCTATCTCTCTCTTTCTCTGTCTCACTCTCTCCCCCTTCATACACACATTCTATCTCTCTTTTCTCACTTTCTTTTTTCATTCCATTTCATACATCCACTGATATTCTCTTAATCGGTCTGAATATCCTTGATGATCATGTCCTTTTATGGTTTCTATCCTTTTCTTTCATTCTATTATCTTCTAAACGGTATTAATTGATTCATCATCTCATTGATCTCATTCAGATGATCAGTTGTGTGTATCGTCGTCGTCTTTCTCACTCACACTTCCTACTATACTTTTAAGATGTTTTATTAATCATTTTCGTTTTTATTTCTGACATCTGTTGCAATGACTTGCTTCCTCGCTAACACATCGTCTCCAATTGAACATTTTCAAACTTTTCTCTTCTCACTCATACACCACATAGACACACACACATCAAACAATCCAACAATAGCTGTTGTCCTCGAAAAACATAATCTGATGAGCCTATTTCCTTTTTCTGTTTCGACTTCTTGTGATTCTAAGAAAAGATAAAGCTTGTCGGCTATAGGTCTTGACACGAGAAGCCATTCCATCAGACGATTGCGTGTGACTGTCAGCACATAATCTAATGGTGTCACACATTAGTTATAATTACTTAATACATACAGTTCTATCAATCCTCATATACATCATGTATTTTTAACTTTAGTACACTTTACCCACTTCAATCAGATTCAGACAAGACAGTTGACCTCAGCTTCTAACCACTACAGTCTTACTACCAGCACAAATCGTTATCGATTTACCGCCTTAATTAAATTATCAGAATGTCTTCAGCCAGTTCTAACATGAAGTCATCAACATGAGGTGAAAGCCAAAAGCAAATTAATTCTTTTCGATCATCATCGTCTCATCAACGCATCAACACTAATCTTAAACGTTACCTTTTCCAACATTTTTTTTGTTCTTCTTTTTTTTTCTCTTCGCCTCCACCATCCATGACTCAGAACAATTCCATTCTCATTCTCTTTCTCTCGCACTCTCTTCATACGTTTAGCTGCATCGTACCAGTTTTTTTTTGAATTCGTTAACTGGTACTTCTTGGTTTTCTTCTCGTTTTTCAAATGTTTGCCTGACGGATATTTGCCATTGACTTTTGAAGCTTATTGTTGATGAAACACTGTTTTGCTACTCCTACTCCCTCCCTCCCACTCTCTCTCTCTCTTCTTCTCATCCCTTTAACCTCTTAATCCCATAATTCACATGATAGCATTGAACAGTCATTTTCTAATGATCCAATGACTTCTAATCAATCCTGTTGAGACTATTTTTTCGTTATCAGCTCAATCTAAGAGGCGACTGTCTCGTATCTCTCCTTGGTGTGTCTCTCACTAGCACAGTCCTCTCCAACGTTTTATTTTTAACTTTTGACGCACTCTTTCATTAAAGTTTTTCTTATAATGTCTTCTAGTTCCGTAAAACGTTAACAAAAAAGCAAATATATATATATCGTCCCCATGTCCATGTAGAGAGAGAAAGAGAGAGAGATGAAGCAGAAGAACATCCCAGTTGCTCATTGCTACTGTCCATCTCATTCCCCCGATCTCTCTGTGTAGGTGTTGTTTCATCGATTTTCACTTTATTTTTTTGGAATTTTTCTTTTTTTTTTGTAAACAAGCTGTATGTTTTCAATCGAAACTATACCATCTACTTCTCTACTACGATAACCGTTCAATAATTTCATTGTTTTTGATGAAGTTCTAATCATTCGCACTCTCTTCAATCGATAGTACCTTCCTTTTCTTCTTACTCTCTCTCTCTCTCTATACAGTCTCTCTCTCTTCCTCTCTCTCTCTTTCTTTCTTTATTTGTGCCAAAGATGGAAAAATCTCAAAATGGAGAAAAATCATTTGCTTTGAACTGTCTTGCATGTGGGTGTCGTTTGCTCAAACGTTTGCATGCCTGCTGTGAGATAAAGGTCAGACGAACCTGATAACTTTTTCATTTTTTTATTCATTTTTTCCCGCTTCTCTCCACCTCTCTCTCTATCTCTCTCTCAGCCCATATACAATCAGTGAGTAGCAACAGCTAGCATCTTAGACGGTGTAAATATCTGAATATATTAATACGATTGAATAGCAGGTTCCAGTTGATGTTTTCTCACCTCCATTCTCACATTTTTCTTTTTGCTGGTGTTGAGAAGTTGTCGTGTCTTGTGTCTTCTGGACTGTTAGATCATCATCATCATTGTTCCATACATTGCTTTCCGTTGCATCAAGTTCTTCAACAATCACACCTTATCTTTGTTTATTGATTAAATCAATTTTTTTTCTCAATTCTAATTACTTTCATTCATATTGCAGGTAATGGATGTTTCTGCGCCAGCCCGACCGATCTCGTGAGATTCTTTTTCAATTTATTCAGATTTCACATATTTCATTTTCAATGTTACTGTTATCGTTTTCAGCCATCAGCGACCTACGCAAGCTTATTACGTTCCGCGAAGATTACTGGAGAACGGACGTGGCCCGCAACCGACAACCACAAATGCTGCTGAAAGCGAGAAAGTAAGAACACAACCGTGCTGCATGTATGCAAGTGTCAAAATGATTTTACGTGAAAAAGTGTCACGGCAATTAATTAGTGAAGGTTTATGCTAATTATGCTATATAAACGTGTTCCCAGAAACGTTTTTGTTGACATGCGAATGTACACGAAGAGAAATAGATAGAGAGAGAGAGATAGAGAGCAGAAAAAGAGGTGTAAAGACTTGATGTTTGCAGGAATCTCGCGAACCTGTCATGAAGCCGGTAACAGTGCCAGCTTCTAAGTCTCTGAATAAGGAGACAACAACCAATCGAGGAAATAAAACTGATAAGAGCGTGAATAACAATATTACTCCGTCTAATAATAATAATACTGTGAAACAGTCGAATATTTCGAAAAAACCAAATATTTCTAAAGATCAACAGCAGGGAGCAGACGTAAGTCATTTGCTCGCTTTTTTCTTCTAAGCTTCATCTCATTTGTAGAATCGCCGGAAGCCTAAAGTTAGTCCTTTGCGTGATGAGTCCAGCAAGGTAGAGCTCATTAAGCTTTAGAACACGAGTGTAAAACAAGTGATTTCAGGAAAATCGTCAGAAAAGCAAAAACTTGGCCACAGCTGCCGTTGCAACGAACAAGACCCAGCAGGTATTAAGAACAGTGTTAGTTGGTCAGCATGTTGTATGTATAGACTTCCATTACCTCTAAACAACCTGCTACTCGACCAAATGCTTTCTGTCCACAAGTTCTGGAAGCCGGAAAGACCCAATGTATTTGCAAGAGGCCTGAAAGCCATATCATTTGCAAACGGTAAAGCAAACATCAATTGAATTGTAAGCAACAGTTTCATATTTGAAGATGCGGTTATGAAGGCTTCGGACGTGTACAGGTTGTATGCATTCAACATCCAATGAAACTCAATCTCATGGATCTACGTGAGTGTCCAGAAGCTCTATGTCGAAGCATTTTAATTGTGGAATTACAAACATCAAACATTTCAAATTCCTAAAAACTATATGGCATTTTAAGTTTGTCTGAACGGGTTTATCTCTCATTTCTTTAGTCAGAGAGTTGACTCCACTTCTACTTCATTGAATTGAATTCTAACTTATTCCAATTTCATCTATTAACTCTGATTATTTTTCTATGCAATACACATGTACATAAAGAATAAACATGATTAGTGGTCATGTTGACACATTGAGCAATCGCAAACGAGCCGTTCCGTAGGACACCCTTCTACTGTTTCGTTTAGTCAACTAATCACTACGACAAGACAGGAAACCGTTCTCTTAGGGTAGCATCACTTCATAAGAAGAAGCAGCCTGTGCTATGTACAGGCACGGACTGGAAAATAAAGACCAGTTCTATGAACTTTTCTCATTTCAAAACTGTGAACTTACGGGGGAGTGACGAATTTCTTCAATAACACGTTTGAACGTTCAAAGCTCTCAGTGCAAGATGACAGCTCCTTCACGGAGGTATTTCTATCAAGAGCTGTGGTACCATGTAACGATTATTATATTATCATTTGTGTTATAAAACGGAGCAGCTGTGCAAACAGTTCCAATCATGATTAGTAACAATCATAACATACTTCATTCTGAAATCTCCAGAGAGGAGATTGTTCGAATGTGTAGGAGTACAGTTCAATTCACCTGAGGTAACCTGTCAACATCTGACTCAACACAAAACGGAAATAGTTCTGTTTTCAGTTGTACCCAGGCTTGTAATGTTAAACATATGTATATCATTTGATATATAGAAGGATATGCTCATTGGAGCATTTTCATTCCGCAATCTCACTCATATACCGTTCGAACAAGCAGAAGCTGTAGATTTGAGTATAAGGAAGATTCATTTATCGCTCCGTTTAACACATAGGAAGGGCGGGTTCGAAAAACATTAAGCCATTAGATAATGTCAATTAAACCGTATCAATGTTGAAAAAAAGGTAAAATGTTGGGGCCGAGCCGGGGATCGATCCCGGGACCTCTCGCACCCTAAGCGAGAATCATACCACTAGACCACTCGGCCTGGTATAGTAGCAGTTTTGAAATATTGAAGATCTCCTCTAAGGTGTTTACACTGTTTATTACAATTAGTTTTGTAAATATATACCTGCATGAAGTTAAAAATGGTAATATTACTATAACAATCTACATATTCAATAGAATAGCTCCTAATGACGCGTTGATTTTGGCATGCGTGCGTTTGATCTCCACTTCGTACTTAGAGAACATCTCGGTGATTGGATTTAAATATGCTGGCTCATTGGCTTCGCCTATCAGGAAAACCCTTTTGATTTGCAATTTCTCGAAAAGCTCCATTGGAAACAGACTAAAAAGGTTGTCGACTACTCCTGTTGCTACTGCTGCAAGAATCTGAAACATGAGCATGTTATTGGAAAGAGAGAGAGCAACAAATTTACGTCATTTAGCTTGGTGTTTTTCTGAATGCCGCTGATGGCTAATCCGGTTTCACCGTCCTGATCTCGTTCAGGTAGGAAGCGAACACTTGTGACTTTAACGTTCTTGTCAACAGTGTTAGTTTCCACAGCAGCTGAAAATTCAAATGTTAAACCAGACAATTGAAACAAGACATACTGTGTAGCTCATCGATGAAGTTGGAAAAGTTATTGGAAAAATACGTGAACACCTGTATTCACAAATTGAAATTGTCCTTAAAAGGATAAGACAGACCTTAATAGAACTCTCTACAGCATTTCCACCGTTCATAGAACAAGCAGCGAACAAGTTGTAGTCCTTATTGAAAGATAACTGCTGGACGGCAGGATAGTTACTCAAATCGATAGTATTACAAATTTCTTTTGTCTGAACAGTGCATAACTGAGCAGATGTACCAATCACAATATCTGAAGAGAAATCCCGTAGTTGCAAGAACGAACGTGAAAATCTCACAAGCAGTGTCCGATGCAAACTTATGATCTGGCTGCCCAGCCAAGCTACAAACAGAAGCTTGGAGATCTCCTGCTGGCAGGTGAACGTTTATATTCTCCAAATTCTGAATGGCACTTTTCCCTAAACAAGCTGGTGCTTGGACGATGGTGGGAAGATGGATGAAACTCTGAATAGTTTGACCATCTAGTAAGGAAACATGTCCGCTCGTGCATACCTTCATCTTTTCTTCAAAGATTCCATCCCATTCTATTTTCTCTTCCCCGCGAATGGTTAAGCCCCAACTTTCAGCCAATTGCTCTGACATTTTCACTTCGGCAGATTGAGTAAGAACACAGGCGAGCAAATCCATGATAGTTCCGCACCGATTATATCTTTGATTATAATTGTTTCTCATGAGCTCAACTAGAGTAGCACATCCAAACCCTTCATGAACCCGTGTACCTTCTGACATGTAACTGGAAACGCTGTGGATGAGTGTAACAAGTGGGAATTGAACCTTTTGATCTCGTCTATGACTCCAGGCTCATTTTGATAAGTCCATGTATGGAAAGGAGATAAAGAACCTTGAAAGAGATACATCATCAGTTCAACATCCAAGGGCTTACTCAAATCGCCCTTCATGATATCTTCATCGTTCCATAAGACAATACCGTGCATTTGTCCAGCAATATAGATATCAGTGATTTTCAGCCATCTTCTAGAAGGTTCCTATAACGACGAGTTTCTGGTGCTCTCTACAGTATGTGTAACCGTGAGCATTGCCAAAGCTAATTCTATGATTTTCTGGCCATCCTGTATGCCGGAAGTGACTGTTCTATCTTGCATATGATGCCTTTTATCAGAAGAAAGAATATTCCTGAACACACACAGATAATGATCATGTTGAACAGAGGTTCACAACAGACCCTTGGTTATCTACGACGCATAATTTGATAGAAGTGGTTCCGAGGTCCAAACCAATAGCAGCCATTACCTTCAGATTGAATTTTTAAAGAACAATAACATGTTTATATCAAGATATTTATTTCTCTTAATGATTTTTCAATCAATCAATAAGTGAAAACATCATTAAAATTTGTCAATAGTAAATTCGCTTAAAGCCTTTAATGACAACACGTCGACTAATAGTAATCAGAATGAAGAAAACAGTTAGCCGCCATCATCAGATTACAGAGTTCTCTGTGATGAGCGTGCATTTTAGAAATCCCGGATTATGGATGTCAAATAAGAAGGAAATATATTATTCAATGTATTAAAAGAATATTAAAACTACAATCTGACTAGTACTCTAGCTATATTCCATCTAAGGGCAATATTTTATATTCTCTCTCACACTGTCTCACATTTGATAAAAAAAAACTATTGCTTGGCAAAGGAGAACCCAGGATAGATTGATAGCAAGGCATGTATGATACTCGGTAAAACTAGGTCATATCACAGGATGAGTTTGAGAATGTCTATAAACATCTAGTACTTGCGTAAACGATGGCAAATGTTATCCGAAAAATGATTGTTGCAACACTAATGAAGAAAAGAATGATGTGCGCAAGCCGGCTTTAAAAACACCGTATAACCCCGTAATTTTTAAATATATGAAGGCAAAAAGTTTCGCAAACGTTGGTCGACGGAGCAAAAAGCAATCGTTGAGATTAAATACATAGAAATGAGTCGTATAAGGATAACAAGAACAGGCCTTTTAACGACGAACGCGAGGCAGTGGTCATGCGTGATAAAAATCAATATCAATTTTCGTTGTGATAAACCCGCTTGGCGATATGGAATGCATGAGGTTTCAATTTGAAACCGATACTCGAACCCTAATCAGTATCCTTGGAACTACTAAGACTTTATGTCGCTTTTGAAAGCATCGTCCTGAAAACAGGTATTGCATACAGGATGTAATATCCAAAAGCTACCTCTCCCATTGAACGGCGAGCCGACATATAAGCAGCCTGAACTAAGCTCTCGTTTCGTCCGATTTTCAGTGAACGATCCACTCCGAAGGGTTTCAAATGATAAATAAGATATTCCAAAGCATACATAAGGTTAGCATTGACGTAGTGGAAGGAGATGGCGTAATCTTAAATAGGCGGTGACTTTAATTGGATATTGCCATGATCAGCACATACCTGAACAACATCCAGGACCTTGTTCCATCGGGTAGTAAGTATACTGCCAGAACCAGAAACTCTTATCAACATGCCCAGGAACCAAATGATGCTCGGGTACGAATGGCATAAATCTAAATAATACAATGGTCAAGGTAAGGGGAAGACAAATAATGATACCTATGGTGACCAGCACTATCTCGAGAGTCTCCAGCTTGAACACCTATCTTCTCTAAGCACTTTCCGATTTCCGCATCTTCAGCCCCTCCATGATTTGGAGAGCATTTAGTTGCATCCGGTAAGCCCTCAGTGATGAATCTGAAAATGAGAAACAATGAGTAGTATCCTGGAGACAAGAATAGAAAGAGCATAACTAAGGTAGTTTCTTTTTTTAGACTAATAAAAAGAGATTCAAAAGGCATATATATATATATATACAAAGATGATCAAACAAATCATAAAATGTCCAAAACATACTTTTTCAGAGCTTGCCGACTCAATACATAACCAGCACCACCACTCATGTAACCTTGTTTAGTGAAAGGTTTAAATTTCATTCCGAAATGAATAGGCTCATCGGGAGAATGAGCAAGCAACATGTAACGCAAATTTTCCAGAACTACGTATGTGTCATCATCAGCTTTTAAAAACCAGTCATATTGGTCCTACAAAAAAACATTCATCTATGAACTAAAAGAAATGCATACAATGTGATTCTCATATGCATATTGAAAAGCTTTTTTGGTTTTTGCCCACAGAAAGTCTCTGCCTTCAGAGATGTTTAAGTTGACAGCTGGTAAATCTGGATCATCCTCTGATGACATAAACACGTATCTATAAGAACGTTCGTACATGAATGCATAATATTAGAGAATCGCTCACTTATTACAACGCTTAGCCCATGTTGCTTTTACATGAATGGCTCGTTTTTCGTGATTTTGTTTGCCCGTCAGAATCCAACAGAAAACGCGCACTTTCTCCGAGATGATGTCAGCCACAATGCGTTCTCCTTAAACAAATCTTTGAACATTTGCTCAAAATATGTAATTCGAACCATCATGATCATGATGTGAGCCGTTCCCATGAAACTCTATGGCATAGCTAGGAGCATCGCTGTCATCAACGGTTTCTCCATTCTGTGGATCATGAACATGGTTATGGCGATTAGGTCGAATCGCTAGTGATCCAGCATCGAAAGTAGTCTGTTAATGAGAAATAAAAACTTCTATGAATATATTTATGAATATACTTACCGCTGAAGGAGATGATATAATAGATAAGGATAGCCCTATGAGTACTCCTAGGGCTACATATAGAATGGGAGATACTCGCGGCAAAGATGCCATTACAGACACATCTGAACATCATTGGTAAGATATCAGTCATAGATACGGATACGAAAAAAAATGATGAGAGCATAAGAAGAAGAGAAGCCAAAAAAAATTATAAAGTAGAATGAAATGCTGAAACGCAACTATGCTGGAGCGATGGAAGCAGCTGTCGCAATATGATAGACACTGCCACGACGACAAAGTCATTTAGCTTTGACCGTAGCATATAAATAAAAAGACAATTAGTAACAATGTAGTTTTAAATATATGAGAAGGTGCGTAAGTAGGTATACGAGAGCGTAGGACTATAAGTAAAGGGAGGGGTGCAAAGATAAGTGGTAGTAGAGATAAGGAGGAAGAAAGGTTAAAATACTTACGAAAAGGCTGACAAACCATTTAACCGGACAACGGAATATGTATCTCACTTGTTTCATAATTATAATGACGAGAAGAGAACAATAAAAATTGAAAACTATTCCGCAGCCATGCAACATGTTGTAGGAGACAACAGGATGAAGGTGTTATGCTCGTGTTAGAGTTACGGTTAACACAATTGACAAAACGGACCCGAATATAGTGTTTAATACGAAATCAATAGGGATTCGGGAATAAGGCATAACTGGATTATTCCTTTTCTATTCATGACAGGGAGCAAGTGAAACACAGACATAATCCAGTCACTATCCCTATCTCTTTTAGCTATCAAACAATGCTGCGAGGATAGCCGAGTCTAGGTACGACACATATATACCATATTTTGCACTTTCAAATTACAATGATAAACCGAAGAGGAGAAGTTGTGCTTAGAGAACAAAAAAAAAAAGATAATAATAGAAAAGGGCAAAACAGCTGTTCAAGCGGAAAGTGCGCGTTTATTATGGCTCAAGAAGACCTGTCGTTTCTGGACACCAGGCGTACACACCGTGAGACAATACTCTTCCGGAAGAAAGGCAATATACAAACAGACGTTCCAGTAGGAACTATTCGGAGATCAAAAAAGAAACTCCAAAAACAAAACATGGCAAGAACAAAAGATATTACGAGCTAGTCCCAAAGATCTGATGCGTTGCCACCAAGCATTAATTTGCGAAGTTCAAAAAAAAATTTGAGCAAATGAGGATCGAGGATCAGGTTTAAAAAACGATGTTGATGTTTAGCCGGCAGAGCCAACCGAAACAGAAAAAAACGTCGATAAAACCATATTTCTTGCATGTATGCGAATATGAATACGAAGTAGGGAGTGAAGTAGACTCCCACTGAGATGAACGGAAGGAAAAAATACGCCTGGCTATCTTCGACCCTGGACCGAATTAGAAATACTAAAGAAAATCAGTTTGCCTAGTTCGCCAGTCATACATGTTGTTGGCAAGGCTGGAAGACGTGGCCATTTCGACAAATACTTGCATACATATAAGATCACATTTGAACAGCAGAGAAAAGGCAAAGCTGTGTACATAAAGTAACTGATCGAATAAAATCGCAGATAGTGAAATAACAAAGTTTAAAGAGAAACTACAAAATTCAAATAAATTCATAGAAAACAGCGAGCAGAGCTCATTTGTGAGCTCTGCTGTGTGTGGGATATACGAAATAACTTTATATCAGTAATGAATCATTGAGACGAATCACAACAGTAAGGGGGGGGGGGGGGGAAATAGAAAAGGGGAAGAT